CGCAACAACGTATGTGTCCATCGGCCTGCGTTTCAGGAATATTTTTTAAATTAATTTAACCTGTTCGCTCATAGACGACTGTAAGCAGAATAGTGTCGACTATTTACGAGTCTTAGCGACAAAATGTAATGGTGTGGAGTGTGTAAAGTCGACTATTTACGAATCTTAGCGATAAAATGTAATGGTGTGGAGTGTGTAAAGTTTCTGTGTTCTTAAACCTCTGAAATGCTGGCCAGAAACGGGAATACCGCAATATATAAAGCAATTTTAAGTACACTATAATAAGGAAAAAGAGCTGACGGATTATACAAGTAATCGTAAATAAGTGTCTCTAATTTATGTCTTCAGTGGTCATGACGCCTAGTGTATGTCTACTATCAGACTTCAAGAAGAGATTCCGTTTCTTGCAGGATTACAACAGCATTTACGATTGTCGAAAATGTTGTTACTACAACTTGCGTACAGACTCAGCTTCGTGCTTGGTGATAATCTCTTGAAGGTTATAGAAAAGTTTCGCTTTATAAATTCCAAAGGGAGAAGAGGCCGTGTGTTGTGGATAAGCAGGTGGCAGTTCTGTTTCGTATTCGGGAGGTACTAGGTTCAAATCTCAACACGGAGACTAGCTATCCTGATAGGTTTCTCGTGGGTTTCCTCAGTCCCTCCAGGATGTCTGGACTGTATCTTATATCAGGTCACAGTCGTTTCCTTCCATTTCCCTTGCGTTTTATTATTAATTCAATTATTGCTATTTAAAGCTACATATTCTGAGCTACTGAAAGCACAGTTTAATAAATTGTAAATAAGGAAGAATCGAGGATATGAATATTAGTATCAAATGTGAGTGAATTAAAGTGATTAAAAGCATTTAGGATTTTGTTATGCTATTTGATTAATCCACTGTCTTTGCACAGTTTTTTTTTATTTTTAGATAAATATTTTAAATCAATGCTTCTTCATACTATGGGAGAAGATGTTTTCAATCTGACTTGTACACAGTTTAAAACAGACTCTCGTCACCTAGGAGCATTATGTTATTATTTTCGAAAATTATATACGTTTTATGGCTTTGAAAACGCCTAGATCTATTTATTTTTCTTGTTAAAGCCATTACATCATAATATTAAAGGCTACTGTAGCATTCATCGTCAAATTCTATCTTTGAAAAATGATCATAATGCACTGATAATTGTGTTAGACGATAGTGCAAATATTGTAAATGTTATAACTCAAGAATAATTGTGTTACACGATAGCGCAAATATTGTAAATGTTATAACTCAAGACCAATTACTTAAAATCGTACAGCGTTTCAACACAAACAGCTAGCAACGTTGTACTGGTAAATTTGAGTCGCGCGATAGGGGAGGGGAAGGGAGGGGTGCGTGAAGACCTTTCGTGACCTTGAGACACGCAATTTAGTGGGAATGCTTCAAGTATTACGACAGTTTAACCAATTATTTTTTTACAAAGATAAAGAACGTAAGTTATTATTGTAAGGTACTGCTATCACAATTGCCTAGCCACTAACTATTTTGAATAAGGACAATTTATGTCCTTATTAAAAAGATCTTCAGATGATATGAGTTAGTTTAAAAAAAATGTCTGTATCTTTCCAGACATTTAATGATTTCTTACATTAACATGAGTGAGATAAATGATTGTGCTCCGTCAGATATAACGTAACATTTTCGAGATATAGAAGTTACAGTCTCTGAGTATTTTCCTCCTCTGGTATAATTTTCAGTAGTCACAAATTCTATTTATATTTTGCAAAACAAAAATTATTAACAAGGCAAAATGTTATTGTGAGGGTGGGATGTGTAAATTTAAGGGGAGATTTAGTGATACAGAATATCATAATACTTTTGCAGATACTAGTAAGAAAAGTCATTAATATTTTATAGACGTGTTGTTGTACATGGAATGGGAAAGTTGGTTAGGGTTTATGAGGCAGGCGAGAGTCGAAGAGAGGGTTTGAGAAAGGGTGATACCTCTATGAAGAAGGGAGGAAATTGTTATGCACTGGTATTAAAACTAAGACAAAAAGGGAACAATTTTTGAATATGAATTAGAACGATACAGTTGTTTATAAGAGAATTATAAAATATACTAAGGTTGTAGAATTACAAGATATTGTAGAATGCTTGTTAAAAGCTTAATGTAAATTAAAGAACTGGGTAGAAGAATTGGAATATTAGGTTCCTAGCCATAAAATAATGTCTATGTACATGTGGTACGCGATACTAAACAGCATATTAGTGTTCTTTTCGCAGAAACCTGATATTAGTCGTACACAGTCTCGTGTGTATAGAACTCTCCCCAAGAAATGAATGTACAGAAAAGTATGAGAAATTAAATGGCGTGTCAACAGACACGGAAATTAAAACAACATATACATAAAATATCGTTTGAAAAAAATTGTTGTATTGGTATTAAAGAATGTTTCCATGCATTTAAAATTTGGCTGCAAAGAAACTAATTCTCTTGCCATCAGCATATCTGTGCTAGACATCTTTCTCAAGATATGCAGCAACAAATTCAAAATAAGTTAATAGGCTTCATACATAATACGACATGACACAGGTTACAACAGTTGTAACTGACTTCAGCTCCCTTGCGGTCAGCAATCAGCATTAGTGAAGTTAAATATAAATTCTTCTAAAATATGGAGTGAATTTAATTCAACATTCCTTATATACGTTTTTATATTGAAAATTAATACCTACTTAGAAATGATCTTTCGCGAAAGTATTTTATGACCAAAAGACTTTAGCAGTAGTAATTTTTTTTTAGAAATAATCGTGTTTCAAATCTGTATCTCAAAAAAGTTATTCGTTCGAAACGTATGACGTCAGTGACGTTGTGTGACGTCTCATCCGACTTCAGCTTAAGCAGAAACCACACGCAATGCGGGTAACCTGTCGTTCTACCATCTCGATGAACTGCAATGAAGTTTTGGCTACAGAAATGATAGAATTTTTCAGCGGAAAGACAAAACCACGCTTGATATTTTCATATCAGACATCTAAAAATATGTTTAGATTACCACCTCAAAGCTGTCTAAACACTTTGAAGCCAAAGCTCGTATAAATAATGTTTAAGAATTAATTCCGGACCACAAAGAAAACACTACACTTTACCGTTACAAATATTATGTTGTTTAAGGAAATAATTGGTGTTTACACTGAGAATGCCACCAGACGCGTTAATAAAAAATATAAAGTAACTTACTGTTAAGAAATTCACCACTTTTTGGAACGCAGAGATTCATAACCGTGTTAACAAAATCCCAAATCTGATATGCATCTTGAATCAAATGAATCAAGTCCACATCCATAAAATTCGGGCATTTTCGATATATTTTAAAGTTAAATTTATATCTACGCGCATGTCTTTAAAGTTAACCTATTTCCTTCAGATTCTCGTATTAAAATTGTGAAGTATATTTCGTCTCTTCTGTCCTAGGAGGCCTAGCAGTGGGTCGTTTCCTTAAAGAACTGATGCAAATTTTAACAAATTTGTTTGACAACTTAATATATGCATACATCATCTCTTTAAATCCAAATGGTAATTATATATACCATATACTTTGTCTACTTCAGCGATTATTAGCTTCCTGAGAAAGACTACTCCATGGGGTTTACAGCCATATAGAAGCCGTAATATAGTGCCCCTGAATTGTAAATCGGATCTACAAATCGTATTTAGTTTGCATTGTACTGAGAAATTATAGTAATTGTAAAGTTTTATAAAATACCTTTTGTTGTTGCAAACCACAGGCGGACGAACAAGCAAAGTAATTCTATTCTGCAGACACCACATCTGCAGAATGGACAAAGTGCTTCAGTGCTTATAACGTCTCCAGACGAAAACTAATTCGGAACTTTCTTAATATGAATCATAAATGATAATCATTCTACCGCGACGTTATTTTATCGATTTTCTCCTGTAGGTGGGAAACTAAGTTTCACACTCATGCACAAGAGTAGGTAAAATTCTGGTTTTACATGTTTTAATTCCTGTGTACTGGCACTGAAGACAGGGAGACAACATTTTATAAACTGAACTGTAAACAGTACTCCTCTGATGTACCACTTTTGAAGCATCACTTATGGCACTTGGACGCAGTCTACACAATCCCGACAGATGGCAGCGCTGCGCCGAGTGAGACCTTCCAGCGCTGATAGACAATCTAACCTAACAAAATTGTGTATCAGGGCCAGAGAAATCTCGATGTGGATATCTGAGAATGTTCGAAACTTCAAAAAGTTAGGTTTGTCTTTTAGTAGTTAAGATGTATGTGTCTTGCGTATAATTGTAAATGTATGAATCACATTCTTGTTCACAACAATTTGGAATCATTTCTGTAATCGTGAGATTTCAGGTGAAAGTGATTGTGTTTCTTTGTTCTTTTGTGTTTTAACACCGTGTAGACTCATAGGTAGATGTCAACGTTTCGGAGGAACACACTGTCTTAATATTCAGGGCTAACTTCAGCCTAAACTGTGCCAAAACCCATAAGATAACAAATACACCATTTCCACAATTCGTCTAGCGAAATGTCAACCAGTCACTGCCCTAGTTTGAGTCACATTTAACACTTTACCTTAATTATTTCACCTCTCTGGGACTTCTGATTTTAACATACCCATATTTTGTATTACTGAGTGTTGGTACATTGTCGTACATCTTCAATCGGTTTATAATCGCAGTTTTATAGTGCCATGCAGTACTATTTAATCCATTTTTTATCATTAAAATAGTAATTGACTTTGAACAGCGTTTGCCAACAAATGTAGTGTAAACTTTGTAGTAGACGAAAATTGTTTGACACATTCTTTTAGTTGATTACACACCAATATAATAAATTTTACGTAAGTAAACTTAATTGCCTGAAAATAATTTAAGTCAGTTTAGTTAAGTTCCTATCCTGCACACTAAGTTTTGTACCCATCGTAATAATAACGCAGATACGTGGTGCATTTTAATTGCAACACTTACCGTCGGGAACAAACACATTTAGATACAGACAGTCTTCGCTGAATTCCAATGCGTCTATCTGATCGGACAGAATTTGGCTGAAGACGTATTCATGCTCCCTCAGTGCTTCTTTATCCTGAAGACACGCTGGTGCAAATGATGTCGAATTCCTCACTTCAGTCCAACTGGGAAGGGGGTCTTCAATCGGTGGTTGAAGCCTTGGATTTATAGGAGGTTTTGCAAATGGAATTCCTAGATATACATTTGCTTTCTGTCCTCTGAACACTGACACTTCTTTTCCAGAAACCGGTCCCTGGAGAGGAATATTTACAATAGGAGGTTCCTTCCCTTCACCCTCAAAACACACGTTGAATAACCAAAGCCATGTCCAATACCACATCTTCATGATGCTTGAACTGTACTTCACCGCGGTGCTCATTCGACTAGCCAAAATTCACCCCAGCGTCAAGACGCCGAACGGCGTTGCGCAGGGCCACAAGACGTCCTGAGATCGCCTGGAAAATTATTATTCTCCAGAGTACTGTTGTATCAGGTTAGAGATCTATAATGTACTTCCAGTATCCAATTTAACAAACTGTAAATCAAACAACTGTATTCGAAATATGCTCATGAAAACAACACAATTACAAAAATACTTTTTTCACAAAGAAGAATGTTATGTTGCGTCATATATAAAAATGTTTATAAAATTATCGAATTGTGGGGCAATGAAAAAGGTAAATTAAAATAATAAGCCGACATTAATATTAATAATCCCTGCTTATGATATAATATTAAATGACGTTTAAACAATTTTGGATTGATTCTGACGTCTCTGATGTATGTAAGGAAGTCAGAACCTACTGACCACAAATCTTACGTCAGAAATTAACTAAAAATAATGTTCAACGGTAAACATGCCTGTCACGTATTTTGTGTTATTATTTTACACAAAACTGAAATAATTCTAGTGTAATCTTTGTAAGAACCCTTACAAAACTGACAATAATAATGTAACATATATGAAAGTAATAAATTAAGAACGAATGCTCGAAATACATATTAATAATTCCAAAAAATGCTAAAATATCAAGGACTCTTTTAAGATTTTAATATTAAGATAGTAATGTTGACTATAAAAACTGATATCAAAAAATGCTAAAATATCAAGGGCTCTTTTAAGATTTTAATATTAAAATAGTAATGTTGACTATAAAAACTGATATTAACAAGTTACCAGTATTTTATAGACGATTAATAACATGTAAATACAAACTATATATGATTTTCGTGGTTAGTAAAGTTCGTAATTAAATACAACGGAAGAAAGCTTCATAAATCTGTTAAAAAATATTGTGTTGTTGTTTTAAATAATAGTTCGTCTTCATATCCGTAAATGTCCGTGTTTCTTAAAATTCAAAATGCTCGCGTTAGGAAAAAAATAAATATTCCGAGGATGCCCCAATAGTTTACGCATATTACTTATTTATGTAAATAAAGAGTTTAAAATGTACAAGAAAACTTCATTTATAAACGGTACAACATACATGGCTTGCCATTTTCTCTTACTTATTCACTGAATTCTGAACAAATAATCGATTTGGCTTTAATTTGAATCGGAACACATCGGCAGACCTAATTCATTCCAGATGAAAAAGAATAAAAAGGTTAAATTCAGTAAGAATAATAAAGTTTCACATATTCTTGTCTCAAGTATACACGATATGTTGGTGTACCTTTAGACTTTATGTCAACCGGCCATCGCTGTATACAATTGTATACAATGCCAGTCAATTTCACGCGATTGTAAAATACATTTTACCTAGATATTTTATAAAAAGCGGAAACAGACAACAACGTACAATCTACTGAATTTATGTAAAGAAAATAATGTGATAAACGTCAAATATAAAATACCATTTAACCCTCTGAAATAGAATTTCATTAAACAATATGTAATAATGCGTTGCTCACCGCGAAGAAAACAGTTATGTATTACAACGATAAACTTGTTCGTGCTATTGTGAAGGATTCTGATGATGGTGTGATATCGTCTGATGACCAATGATTACCTCATTCTAACGGACCACACAGAGCCACAGAGTAGGTGTTTTATCTGAAGACGAGGACACATCTAGTCCTCGAAACTCTGTGTAATTTTACAACATGAGACAATTGATAAAGTACAAAAACCTAACAATTCATATAATTAATGCTGTTAAGGAGCCGGGTTAGCTCAGCCAGTATAGTGACTAGCTACGGGCTGGACGACTGGGGTTCGATCCCCGACTGGGGCAAGAATTTTTCCTCTAGCCTCTGCGTCCAGACCGGTTCTGGGGCCCACCCAGCCTCCTCTACAATGGGTACCGGGGGCCTTTCCAATCTGTTAAAAAATATTGTGTTGTTGTTTTAAATAATAGTTCGTCTTCATATCCGTAAATGTCCGTGTTTCTTAAAATTCAAAATGCTCGCGTTAGGAAAAAAATAAATATTCCGAGGATGCCCCAATAGTTTACGCATATTACTTATTTATGTAAATAAAGAGTTTAAAATGTACAAGAAAACTTCATTTATAAACGGTACAACATACATGGCTTGCCATTTTCTCTTACTTATTCACTGAATTCTGAACAAATAATCGATTTGGCTTTAATTTGAATCGGAACACATCGGCAGACCTAATTCATTCCAGATGAAAAAGAATAAAAAGGTTAAATTCAGTAAGAATAATAAAGTTTCACATATTCTTGTCTCAAGTATACACGATATGTTGGTGTACCTTTAGACTTTATGTCAACCGGCCATCGCTGTATACAATTGTATACAATGCCAGTCAATTTCACGCGATTGTAAAATACATTTTACCTAGATATTTTATAAAAAGCGGAAACAGACAACAACGTACAATCTACTGAATTTATGTAAAGAAAATAATGTGATAAACGTCAAATATAAAATACCATTTAACCCTCTGAAATAGAATTTCATTAAACAATATGTAATAATGCGTTGCTCACCGCGAAGAAAACAGTTATGTATTACAACGATAAACTTGTTCGTGCTATTGTGAAGGATTCTGATGATGGTGTGATATCGTCTGATGACCAATGATTACCTCATTCTAACGGACCACACAGAGCCACAGAGTAGGTGTTTTATCTGAAGACGAGGACACATCTAGTCCTCGAAACTCTGTGTAATTTTACAACATGAGACAATTGATAAAGTACAAAAACCTAACAATTCATATAATTAATGCTGTTAAGGAGCCGGGTTAGCTCAGCCAGTATAGTGACTAGCTACGGGCTGGACGACTGGGGTTCGATCCCCGACTGGGGCAAGAATTTTTCCTCTAGCCTCTGCGTCCAGACCGGTTCTGGGGCCCACCCAGCCTCCTCTACAATGGGTACCGGGGTCCTTTCCCGAGGGTAAAGTGCGGCCGGGGCGTGATGCTGACCACTCACCCCCATCTAGTGCCGAGGTCAAGGAAGAGAGGAGCTATACCTCCACTCCCCCAAAAGACCTACATAGGCTTTAATGCTGTTAAAGAAATAATCCCTTTTTACACTGAGAATCATATCAAACACGCAAAAATACAAACTACTGGCTGATTGTAAAAACAGATGGCACTTATATTTCCACTGGTCTTTAAAGTATTGTATATCTGCAGAAACTCAGCACTAATTTTTAATTAGCGATCGAGTCTTGAACCGTGTCCTCTTATCTGCATAAATATATATTAACAAATACAAATAAAAGGTGTAACGAAGTCATAAGCGGCTGTTAGGCCAATTGAGGTTTATGAAGTTTGTTCAGTATGGAGAAACTGTACACAAATTAATTGTAGCGTGTTGAAAACCCGTTTCTAATATAATAATTTATCTCTGTTCCTCTACGATTAGATATTGATAGAGACAACGTACACCATTAAATTTGCACACGAAATGATTCCGATACTTGGGCATTATTTCACACAAATAGTTTAATGTGCGTGCCAGTTTTATGTAATGCAGGCCGTACAAGCGTGACGTCATTAATATCGACTTATCTCCACCCTCTGTAGGGTTAATGTGGAAAAGATAAAGTTTTAAAGCTCCAAAACACATAAAACCATTTTAAATTATTTAATAACTTGGCTATGAATATTTTCTTGAATAAAACTAAAGTAAAAGTAAATCTGTCTCACTACACGCCATGTAAGCGCTTGGGGGGAGAGAGGTATAGCTCCTACTCATTCTTAACCACAGCACTAGATGGGGGGTGAGTAGTCAGCATCACACCCCGGCCGCGTTTTACCCATGGGAAAGGACCCGGGTACCCATTGTAGAGGAGGCTGGGTGGGTCCCAGAGCCGGTCTGGACAAAGAAGCTAGAGGAAATTCCTCTGCCCCCGTCGGGGATCGAACCCCTATCGTCCAGTCACTTTTCTCACTGAGCTACCTCGGCTCATACCTTGAATAAGGAAAATAAATATTATAAACTCAGAAAATTAATTTTCATGATAGTTTCAAAACACGCTTTTCAAACTTTTCACTTAAATTTTTAAATATAAGAGACTCCAGTTCAATGATCTAAACGTTTGATAATAGTAGAGAAGCTTCCGATGAACAATATATTTTCAAACTTAAATCAATTAATGTAGTCTTTAAAGTTGAAATTCATATATTCTTTTGTGACGTTCGGAAAAATTATTTCTTAGGATTGTAGACATAAAAACTTAGGTCACCGTGCTGTGTATTCAAATCTAGCTCTCTGAAAGAATATTTTGTTCCATTATCTCTGTGAATCAGAGCAGAAATGAAAAGAAATAAATCCTTTGAAATGAAAAGTTTCTCGAGCGGAAAAAAGTACGTACATTATACTTAAATCTTACCATTACATATAGCATGTAGGTCTACAGTTTCGTGTCTGAAACACGTTACAAAATAAACAGAATAAGGGAATATAGCCCACCTATGTTGTGGAAATATTAAGACATAGATTACGGCCCCACGATACATGGGACCTAAAAATATGTTACAAATTTAAATACGTAGCTTTACACAATCATCTCTATAAACACTATTATTAAAATGTATACATTCATATCGGTTTCATTCTATTTTTTTTTTCAAATTTCCCTTTAGTCAGAATAGTAAATTCATAATTCGATTTTCAAATTAGAGCTCCGTAAGGTCAAAATTTCGGCTATACTTAAGAGATGTTAAATAGTGTATCGTATATAAGTGAGTTTACTTTAATCAATTTCGCTAAAAGCTTTTGCGGGATAATTTCAATTCGACTTCTTCAACTTGTGATCTACCGTATATTATGTTAGAAATTTTAAGAAAGAATTTTAGACGCCCTCTCACCGACTAAAACTGTCACGTGTTATCAAGACGTCATGCACGCTATATGTCCTACCCATCTCGTCTCTTATTTTCTCCATCTAAGAGGCCTAACAT